CAACTCCCCACCAGCAGCTGCCTAATCCTGCTCAATGCCTATTCATTTGGAGGTTCTAGAATTAATATTTGACGACTCTCTCATTGAAACAACAACCCCTGACCCCATGTGATTGCACTGTCACATTATTCTATGACATATTCATCTTGAATTCATTTACGGACGATTTGATTGGAATGAGGTTTGACATGTATTGGATCCTATTAAAGAAGAAGACTTTGATCTTGTTGATGGGGTTTACATGATATGTATCATCTTTACCAGGGATACCAGGCTTCCACAATGTGGTGTCTAAGTAGTTAGTGACTGACAGCTTATCTGACAGGAATACCTTAATCTTGAGGTACTGAATGAAATATTCTATTTAAAATAAGCATATGATTTGCTTGTCCTAGGGTAGCTCTAGGTCACGAAAAGTGAGAGGCAAACCTAGGCACAAGCCCTTGCTCGCCCGGTAGCCGAGTTCCCATTATCCGGGAACCCTGAAATAAAGAAGTCCCCCTAAGTGGGAATGGGGCGAGGAACAGAAACAAAGGCAGAGTGTGCTCCCGAGCCACTCGGTACCCTCTCCTCTTCTCGCCGAGGAGATGCTGGGATTACTGAAAGGCTTTCTTGAGCCACCTCTTCCTAAACAGCAGTGCCTTCTGCCGGGGCAGGCAGGCAGGGACTCGGGCTCAGGTCCTGTGCCTGTCTCACTCGCTGCCTCCCTCATCCCTCCCTGCCCAACGCGAGTTTGGGGCATAAGGAATCGCACAGGCTGGCTTGTCGGTCCTCGCTGTTTCTATTCCTCGCTTTTTCCCCTTTCTCACAGCAAATATTAGGATTTTCAGATGAAACTGTTTCCCTCCTCTCGTCCGGGAGGTGAAGCCTAAAGGTGACCCCTGGAACGTGTCTGGAGCGTTCAGGGCATCCCGCCCCGTCCCAGCCCTCGAGCACCGGCTGGAAAGTTTGTGGCTGGCTCGTCGGGAAGGGGAGCTTCTGCAGAGGCAGGAGTGGGAGAGCACGGGGGTGGGTGACGGTCAGATTTTGCTCTCCCCGATGCTTCCCGGGGCAGGAGCTGTTCCTTGCGCTGAGCACGACCCTAAGGGTGAGCGGGATTTGGCCCCAAGTCACAGAGCACAAAACGAGCAGCCCCTGATTTTCTGGGGCTTTGCACCTCACCTTCACAGCAAGCCCTTTCTCCGGCAAAGGTAGAAATATGGATAAACGCCTTGCTGTACAGGTAGATTCCTGCCCAAAACAAGGTAAAGGGTGGTGGATCTGTAAAGCCGTTCAGCAGCTGGGGCTGTCCCCATCCCCGGGGGTTACCCCCAAGGGCTGTGCGGCGCGGTTCCCGTCCCGTAGGCCCCGGCAGCCGCCCGGCTCGGGGCGGGGGTGCGGGCAGGGGCCGCAGGGTTGGGGCTGCCCGGCCGGGCCTCGCAGCCCCCAGGTGCGGGCAGGCGGAGCTGGGGGTCCCGCACGGCGGGGGGGAATGCGGGGAGGGAGGCCCGCCCCCCCCC